GCTTCTTCCAGGCGCTCGCTGATCTCCTCCAGCTCCCTGGACAGGTCAGCGCGATGCTTCTCTGCTTTAGCACGAGAGGTTCGCTCTGCCTCAATTTCCTCCTCCAGCTCCTCAATACGGGCCTGAAGAACACCAGGGACCCTTCACACCCGTGCCCTCCTCCTGCCTGAGCTGAGCCTGAGCAAGGCAGGGGAAGGAACAGAGACTTGCCTGCAGCTCCTTGATCTTCTTCTGAAATTGCATGCCCAGGGCTTGTTCATCCTCAATCTTGCTCTGGATCTGGCTGATTTCAAAGTCTTTCCTTTGGGCCAAGTGAACCATGTTAGATCTCAAAGCAAAGAGACAAGTGCTCCAGCCCAGCACTCAGGTGCCCCAGAGCCACACTTACTTCTTCAGTTTCTCATCCAGCTGCTGCTTATCATTCTCCAAATCCATGATGCTGTCCTGGGCCAGCTTCAGGTCTCCTTCCAGCTTCCTCTTAGCTCTCTCCAGGTCCATGCGCAGTTTCTTCTCTTGCTCCAGAGACCCTTCCAGCTAAACACAACAAGACCATCAGGGCTCTGCCAGCCAGGTCAGGCTCCATACCTGTCCTGTTCCTGCTCTGTGTGTGCTTACATCATCCACTTGCTGTTCCAGCTTGGTCTTGGCTTTGGTCAGAGTATTGACTTTGTCTTCCTCTACCTGCAGGTCATCCAGGGTCTGCTGATGGGCCTCTTGGAGGGCTTTCTTCTCTTTTGTCAGCTTGGCAATGGTCTCGTCCAAGGCTGCCATCTCCTCAGTCAGGTTTTTCACCTTTAGGAAGAAGGTAGCAAATGTAAATAAAGGAAGTAGCTATAGAAGTCCTGTCATAGCACACAGCCCATTTTCTGAAGTGCAATTGACTGGTTCTACCTCATACCTTGTTTTCAGTGGCGTGTTTTTCCTTCTCCACCTTGGCCAGTGTTAGCTCAAGGTCATCAATATCTTTCTTCAGCTCTGAACACTCATCCTCCAGCTTCCTCTTCTTGGCTGTCAGCTCAGCATTAATTTCCTCTTCATCCTCAGCCCTTTCCGTCAACTCCTTAATTTTGGCTTCCAGCTGGATTTTGTTTTTG